GAGTGGGGAATCAAACCCGGTTCTCCCAGATTAGAGTCCACACACTTAACCACTACACCAAACTGGGTAGTGAAGGGCAGGGTATAAATCCAATCTCTTCTCTTCTTCTTTACTGTGCTCATTTTTTCTACAGGCCATTGAATTACAGTTGTTCTTATGTCTCCTTAATAAAAATAGTTTGTTACTCTGCCTGGGTCCTCATGCCTCCTTTGGTCATTTATAAGAGGAAATACAAAACTTAGAAAAAACTGTGAAAAGGTGATGCTTAATAAATTTCTTTAAAGAGTCAAAAATATGAAAAGTGAACAATAATAATATACACAATAATAGAAAATTATGACGGTGATCTCCGGAATGTCTTGCCGTTTCAAAGGTAGATCTTTTTCCGAACAAAGATGTGAGACCTTGTTAAATACAACAATGTACATATTTGAAAATCTTAGCATTATATAAATCATTTCAATATAATTAATAATAAAATAGGATGAAACCTTACAAAAGACTGTCTCTCAGTAATTCATTTCCTCTGATGATGTTTCAAAGATATCAAGAGAGATTTTCTATAAAATACAACGAACTCTATTGTAATACACATCTTGTTTTACACACATTTTTAATACAATATACACATATTTCCTCTGATGATGTTTCAAAGATATCAAGAGAGATTTTCTATAAAATACAACGAACTCTATTGTAATACACATCTTGTTTTACACACATTTTTAATACAATATACACATATCTTTTTGCAAAATGGTTTTAACAATACACTACATAAACTACATATCTAAAAAACTTACCAATATTAATAACAGCTGTAATGTCTAGTAGAACCTGCCATGGGCTAAAATGATTGTAGTGCTTAACCAGGTAAAGCTCATGTTGACATATATTATTTCTACATGAATCCTGTCATGACTTAACACTGATGGGGCTCGGCAGTGGAGCCGCAAGGCTGGCGGCGGCGGCCGGGACCGTGGGGGGCGGGGGGCTTGGCAGGGCT